TGTCAGAAATTTTATTTTTTTGGCCACCCACCCAAACACTGCCCTGTATATGCCCAACCTGGTCAAGACCGTTCAAATTGCTCTGCTCAGTCATGTATAGTTGCGGAATTATATTTCAGTACACTTACTGGATCCTACTTTTGTACATCTGGCAACAAATCAAAGTAAACATAGTGGAAATAGTATTTTTGTGAATGAGGCTAAAATCCAAGATAGTTTGTAACAAAGAGTGTGATTGGTTGAATATAAATGACCGACGAGTGTATTAGTGAATAATTTTTAAAAAGTAAGTAAGTCATTTGATCTCATTTTCTTCAAATAATTGGAACAAAACATGTAATATTAGGTATTGTTGAAATTGTCTGGGATATTCTTCAAATGCGATATCCTGGAATTGTTTGTTTATCAAAATAGCAACACTTCTGGTGGGAGGTGGCATTTCCCCCTGCCTTCAAGACAAGTATCAAAAATATTTTGTGAAACACAAAAAAGGCTAAATGCTTTAGATATCTCTGTATACCAGCCAAATCAAACAAAAAATAGTGCAAAAGACCTTTGTAAATACATCCCGTACCTGCACCATCTAGTAGTGGCTAATCAATCTATTAAAGTGATACATCTTTTCTTTTTGGGAACACCAAACACTTTTTCAATAAACAAACACCATGCTACATTATTTTCTTTATTACAGAATGTAAAGATGCTTCCTCATTGTGTGTGTGTGGGGGGGGGGGGCTTCTATAGAAATACAAAAGTAATACTTAGTGACGAGTTATGAAACAATATGTATATTTGTTTCAGTTATTCTGAAGGTCCTTTATCTTGAGCTAAAATCTGTTTATAGATTTCGCTGCTATTATTTTTCTAGAGGGAGACGCATCCAAATTTTAACAGTTTAGTGAGGAAAGACATGTTTGCTTGTTTCAACTCAAGCATCTATTAGCTAGGTGGTTCCCAGAGGGTGAATAGCAAAAGTCTAATAACGGACTCCTAATACATGGGGCTGTATATCTAATATTTTGAAGAAAAAAAAGGCATTCTGATAAAAGCCAGTTGACCATGCTCTCTACTTTGTCATTTATGCAGCTTTTTGCCAATACATGTCTGTGCTATATGTGTATAAAAGAAAGAAAGGAAGAAAGGAAGAAAGAAAGAAAGAAAGAAAGAAAGAAAGAAAGAGAGAAAGAAAGAAAAAAGAAGAAAGGAAGAAAGAAGAAAGAAAGAAAGAAAGAAAGAAAGAAAGAAAGAAGAAGAAAGAAAAGAAAGAAAGAAAGAAAGAAGAAAGAGAAAAGAAGAAGAAGAAGAAGAAGAAGAAGAAGAAGAAGAAGAAGAAGAAGAAGAAGAAGAAGAAGAAGAAGAAGAAGAAGAAGAAGAAGAAGAAGAAGAAGAAGAAGAAGAAAAGAAGAAGAAGAAAAAGAAAAAGAAAAGAAAAAAAAAAAAAAAAAAGAAAAAAAAAAAAAAAAAAAAAAAAAAAAAAATATATATATATATATATTATATATATATATATATATATATATATATATATATATATATATATATATATAATATAGGCATACTTGACCTATATCACAAAATCAAAGTTCTTATATATAATCTTGATAGGAATGTGAAATAATAATGTGACAAATATATATATTTTTTTTGGGGGGTCCGGTTCAAACACGGATTCAGTAAACAGAAAATATGCTACTTTATAATCATTTTAGGGTAATGTGTATACACAGATGGCTCATCGATGTGTGCATGCATTGTGTGTGAAAGAACTGCGGTTGTTTAACACTTTATGTAGAATCTTTAGTTTTATATTTCATAATTTTGAACCCCATCTCGTTCAAAATGCCATAGAATGTAGTTGATATATATATATATATATATATATATATATATATATATATATATATATATATATATATATATATATATATATATATTTTTTTTTTTTTTTTTTTTTTTTTTTTCTTCTTTTTTTTTTCTTTTTTTTTTCTTTTCTTTTCTTTTCTTTTCTTTTCTTTTCTTTTCTTTTCTTAGAGGATAGAGGTTTCAGTGAATCGACTAATTGGGGATGGTTATTCATTTTGGGGATATTTTTATTATAGTTTAATTTTTAAAGAAATATGGTAGTAACTGTAGTAAAGGAAGGCAAGTACTGAGGCTAGTCATGTTTATGATAAGAACAATGTATTGTTATTCAGTCTGTGTCTGATCCTCGAGACAGGTGATGTGTTCATACAACATCCTGATTTCCTCCTTAAATCTTCCCATTCCTTCTTAGCATGATCTATTAGCTGCTGGGAGGTTGTTTCATTAGCTGTTTCTCAAACATTGACAATATTCGCCCAAACATTTTTCATTGGGTTTGAGTCACATCCCTTGCTTGGCCATCGAAGGACCTCCAGGTGGTCTTAGTCATGGAATCACTTCCTAATTGCCCCAGATGTGTGTATAGGGCAATTATCCTGCACAAATATGATTGCTTCTGGGAAGGGCCAAGGCATAACAGCGTACTGATGGAAGAATGATTTTTTCCTAATAATTCGATATATTTTTCTAAGATGCCTTTCCTCCTGTTTTGCCAACATCATGTAGGAAACCCACCCCTATACATCAAAGGTCATGTGGCCACTCCTCGCTGGTTCATAGATAATTTGTCTGTCGTATGTGAAAAGTAAATAATGATTTAGAATCCAAACATGAAATATAACGTATAGAACACTAATATGTATATATAAATATTTCAAATTGAAATTGATTAATTTGTGAAAATTTTGAAAAGGGTTAATATTTACACCTTTTATCTTATCCATTATATTACATTAACCCATTTATGACGGGTGTTCCATATATGAGACACCTGGAGAAATAAACATTGTGACTTTGGATCGGAGCTCGCGCTCCGAATACGTCGCGCCCAGCGCATAGGCAGATTCCGGGTTGGCCCCAAGTACCGATTTTGTAGCCGCCCGGAAAATATTATTTTCGGCTTCAAAATGTGCTGGTATTACTGGGTTAACACATACAAAAAAAGACATCAGTTAAAGCAAGAAATTCTAATTTTCTTAGAGTGAATAAGATATACAGCACATATTTTGGGAGTTGGTTCTTGGAGTTGTGCAAGTCACCCTCCTTGGAACCACCTAGCTAGTAATTGCTTGAGTTGAAACAAGCAAACATGTATTTTCTCGCTCAGCTATTCGAATGAGGATGCGATTCCTCAAAGAAACATCAATACTTATGGCTTATAGCAGATTATACATACTTTCATAACTCATCACCAAATACTATTTACTCTATGCTTACTTCGCTTGGTTGCCAGATTGGTACAAAGGTGGGATGCAGCAAGTGTACTGAAATATAATTCCGCGACTGTACATGTGCCAATTGTGATGGCACCCGTAATGTATTGTATAGGAGTTGCCCAACCCACAAGTTCAAATATGAGGTAGCAGTTCTCAGATTCAAACATGAGGCGAGACAGGAAGTACAGCAACAAGGTTTTTCTCTCTGTTCCAAAACTGTCCTTTACTCTACTTCCCTCCATCTTTTCAAAATGTCTTAGCATCTCCCTCAGTATCTCTCATCCCTCTACCTCAAATCATCTTACCTCTACTCCCGCTCTACCCAGGTCAAACTCCTTTTCCAGTCTAAATCCAGATACTCAAATCTCTACCACCTAAAACCCTCCTCCTCACTTTACCTTTACACCAGTCAGCCTAAATGTTTCACTCCTCCTTCTCCTATCACATCATCCTCTCCTACGCCCTCCTCTTCCTCTGCTCCTCGGACATCTATCCCCTCTTCTCCTCACAAGAACCTTTGTTTATCAGACCTCCTCACCCAACTCCCCTCTAGAAACTCTTGAAGTTACCCAAAACTTCCTAAAAACAACCCAAGAGAATTCTCTGCTCTCTTATCTACCCTCCAATCCCTTTATTACTATTCCATCTACATTCAAAGTATTTGCTGATATCCATCCTCCTCAGATTCCCCAACACACCATCCTCTCCTCCATGTGCCACCATTCCCTCTTCATTTCCCATTAACTTGAATGTTCACATGAATCCCTTCTATTGTAATAGTGTCCTCCTCCGGTTTCCTCCCTTCTTGACATTATTCCTGATACTTCCCTCATCCCCTTATCTTATGCCCCAGATTTTTCTCCTACTTCTCCAACAGCCATCTCTACCTGTATTACCTGTTAATTGTTTCTTAATGGCCCTTTGCCAATGTTTCTTAACCCACTTACGACAGGTGTCCCACATACAAGACACCCGGAAAAGTAAACATTACCGGGCGTCCCGCTTGTCCTCTGATTTTGTCTGGGCAGGTTCCCGGACTTGCCCATGCACTGGTTTTGAAGCTGCCCGGAAAATATTATTTTCGGCTTGAAAATGTACCATTGCTAGTGGGTTAAACAATGTTCCTATTCCTTGCCCAACCACAGATACATTCTATTTCATCCAATCACCATACACCCCTAACCATTTCCTCTTTTACGAATCTCCACTTTACTTCACTTGCTCTTAACCTTTTTCACTACCATACTTATACTGTCCTATAACACTATAACCTTTGACATCTAACACATTTTATCCTAATCATGAACTCATTTTTACCCCTTTTCACTGCAATACTTTACCATAGTGCTTATATGACCTTTGATGTTTAGCACATTTATTTGTTTCAATCATTAACCATTTATTATTTTTATATGAGAGTGACCAATAATGTGAGTGTAGGAAAGAGATATTTTTTATATAATATTAAACATAAGTAGTTTACCAGCACATTTGCATTGTAGCTTGTGTGGTTGTATTGATTTATGTTAAAAATAGGACAAATCCTTTATATCAAGTAAAAAATACTTCATTTTAACCTATTCATGATGTTATTCCATGCACCATAAAAAGCCATGTGCCATTTATTATACACAATCAGCCACTTTTGTCAATGTCAGCCATCACTTCCCTTCTGAATTTATTTTAACTATCCCTTTGCAGCGATGTTATCGTGCCATGTATGACTATGAGGCAGCAGACACAGATGAAGTCAGTTTCAAGGATGGAGACTTGATCATCAACTGTACAGCCATTGATGAAGGATGGATGACAGGCACGATCCAGCGCACGGGAGTCACGGGCATGCTGCCAGCTAACTATGTAGAGAGAGTCAGCTGAAGTGTTTTCTCATGCTACCAGTGCACGGGGGATCCTTGTGAACTTTTTATTATGTATCTATTTTTATTTTTATTTTTTCATATATATATATATATATATATATATATATATATATATATATATATATATATATTTTTTTTTTTTTTTTTTTTTTTTTTTTTTTTTTATAGGAGTTTTAAGTAAGTTTTCATTCTATGCTTTTTTGTGTTCAGCATCTTTTTGTCATTAATTGCACTATTTGTTAACCTTTTCAATTTGAAACTGATGTTGATTTTAGGGCAGAATTTCAGTTCAAAGGCCACACAATTAAAAAGTGGGAATATATAACCGTTATCAAAGTTATTATACATCTTAATTTATTCTTCCTTGAAAGCTCTTTAATGATTCCTGCCATTAGTGATTATGTATATAAACAGGTCCAGTGTGAGTTTGTTTTATTTAAGCTATTTACAAGTAGATGGCTCCAGAAGTACTTCGCCACCAAGGAGTTTAGTTAATAGGCCTACCTGACCTCAACTGTTTCCTCCATTCCTTGAATTTTTAGATAGAAGAGTTTTAGTTTTTATAATTATTATTAATTGTTTATGTCATTTTAATACTAATGGTAATAATAGTAATAATAACGAAAGTAACATCAATAATAGTTATAGAAATTGAAACTTTTCTCCCATAAAATCAAGGAATGGGGTAAACAAATGATGTTAGGTTGGCCATCTGTATTTAAACAAAATTAATAATCTAAGTGGACTGTGCATATACAGAACACCAATGGGTTAAGATAAAAGGAAAAGGAAACACTGAACCTTAGCATCCCAGTTTCAAAGTGCATGAAGGGGTTTTGCAAATGCTTCCCATGGTTGCCTTGAGCAAGTACTTTGTTAGGCACTGCATAAAGCGCCTGTTTTGGAATCACATTAGAATATATTGTACAAACTATTATTTTTTCTTTTCATTAATGTACCAAAGCTTGTGTGATTATGATTTATGAAAAGCTGCAGAAGATCTGCTTGACAAAAAATATAGGATATATTATATTATATGATCATAATGTATCATGTATATCTGTGGCCTTATTCTATCTAGCCTTAATATTTGCTTCTTTAGAATATGATGATCTTAAAAAACTGGATTTGACACTGATAAGCAACTTGACCTAACTACAACTAATAAGATTAGTACAGCATGACTAGAGCTCAAAGACAACAGGCTGCCATGTATGTGAAATATTAGTGGGATAAGTATGTTGATTAAAAATGAAAAAGAATCTTTGAAAATTCAGGAAGTGCCTACCTTATACTAAGATACTTACTTAATATTTGCATGTAAAAAAGTTCTATGTATGAGAAAATTTCCTGAAACAAATGTGTGATATGTTGTGCCTTGTTTGTAAAGATATTGAGAGAAAACCATCACATTAACACTCACTTTCAAAGTTCAAGTTGATATGTCATATATGACTCCTCAGTAAGATTTTGTTGATTACAACTTTTTTATACAAGTTGTATTTTTTAGTGTGTATTTCTGTGACTTAATTAAATTTCTACAGTTCCAGAAATGCTTGTCAATCCAAACTGATTCAGCCCATAAATGAATAAAGGGAAGTTGTTTAACAAAAAAAATTAAAGTAGCACTGGACAACATTTTTTTTCTTTCTTTCTTCCTTTTTTCCATTTTAGTTCTTAAGCCTCAAGGTTTTGACATATATAATTCACCTGTTGATTAATATTTCTTTGCCAATTATTCATCAGAATGATTGGCACTTTTTTCCTTTATAGAACTTGCAAATCATAATGCACTCTCAATTTTTACTAAAAAATCCCAACCCAGTTTATATAAGGAAATCCAGTAAGTCTCATAGTATTAGTGTAAAATAATTTATGTGACCTGTAACTGTCCAGTGATCCAAAGTTTCTAAATTATGAAGGATATTGAGTATGACGTTTTTTCTGTTATATATATACATATATATATATATATATATATATATATATATATATATATATATATATATATATATATATATATATATATATATCTAGGACTGCACATAGTATATAGTAAAAAAAAATAAACAAATAAAAAATAGCATTGTACATGCTGATGAGATTTTGCTTAGAGCTATTATCAACCCATTAATCCCGGGCAAAAAATTTGGCAAGTGGGCCATTAATTGTTGGGTTGTTGGCACACATCGACAGTTTCCCCTTTTGAACCCGGTGTCTTCTGTAGTTTATGGGCAACATTAGGCACCTAAAGGCTTATATTTTGATATCTTTTTATAAGGATAATAAAAATGTGTAGGTTTACCTTCACTTTGGGTGCTATTGCCTAAAAGTTTCACCATACAAATGCTGCCATTATCATGGAGAAAGACAAGTTCAGCATGGGAATGGTCATGATGTATTGCCACCCACAATTTGGTCCGCAATGGCCATGGCATGTACATACATGTTACCCGGCGGGAAGGGGTTAGAGTGACAAGAAGTTGGCTGTTGACTCTTTTCTATGTTTGTTTATTGTGGTTTGAGTGTTAACCTGTCATCACAATAAAGAAAAAAAAAAAAAAAAGGAATTTCCACAGTATGTCTGTTAATAGACATTAACCATCCACCATAATCATCTCCAGTGTATAGATTTTTCTATCTGTTTTGAGATGCTGAATAATATTTGCAAAGTTGATGTCCAAAAAGGAAAATTGAACTGCCCTTTGTCTTTTGGCTTAAGGGCTTCTATTTTGAATGTTATATTTTTATAGAGCCCATAATTTTTTTTCTCAGTATTTTTCATAATTTTATCATTATTATTTGTGCCATTTGCTGCCTTGTTCGGAACATTGTCTTTTGCATCATCATTTACTGAAATGGTTTGGTCAATGAATTCCTCTGAATTCCTGCTTCTTAAATGTAATCCCTAAAATCAGTTAAAAGCTCCTTGTTTTGTCTTATTTTTTTCTCATTCATAAATACTGTATATTTTCTGTATTTATTATAATTTGTCTAAGAATAAGAAGTTTAAAAATAAATTGAGATATCAAAGTTTCAACAGAGAGAGTTGTTTTCTTATTCTTTCTAATGAATATGTTTATCTGTGTTTATCACATTGAGATTATATATAACTGAATATTCAAGTGCTTTAAAATCCACCTCACAGAGGTAAGCTTAATGTTGCAGAAAGAAAATAATGTGATTATATTAAATATTATAATGCTGAATGGATTATATATCTTATATTTGCAGTTACTCATTGTCTTATTTCAAAACCTGAAATAAGACCTCATCACTGGTATATACAAAGCAAATTGTTTTTTGGGGGGAGGAGGAGGGGAGAAGCAGTGGCTGGGAACACATGGACAAAAGTCATATATTCTTGTGCTCCTAAATTTAACTGCTGACTGATATATACATCCCTTCTATCCAGCTTCCAGAAATTTAGAAAACATTTAAAATATGAATATTATGGAATTAAGAAAAGAAAGAAAAAAGTGAAAGTGAATAAATGTAGTGCAAGATCATGTCTAGATTATCACAATGATTTAACCCGTTGGACCTAGATGATGTTGCAGTCGTGTTATGGAACCATTGGGGTCAAGGGGCGGGTGACGTGAACATGCTGTCAATGGGGCAAATTGGCCGCGGCCCATGTGACACGAACTTGCCGTCATGAGTGAAGGCCAAGGTGACAGAAAAGACTCGCCATGAGTGCACAAACCTCTTGGATTATGATTTGACTCATTTGGCACTTAAAAGAGGGCTTTAGCATTATTCCTATCAATAAACGAATGTTGAATGTAACGTGCATAAGCAGTGACTGGAAGAGCACCAGCAACCGGGAGGATGCCATTTTCATGCTGCACACCATATTCCTGGCCGCTGTGACAGGTGCCACAGGTTTTATTGATATATAAAATTATAAAAAATGAGATATATAACACAACCAAATGTTTCATATTTTATTTTTCCTAGCACAGAGTTTACTGCATAGATGATATGGAGTCTGTACAAAGAAAGTAAACTATTACCATCTGGATAAAGCAAATCAAAAGATAAATATAAACATTGGAAAATGGTGATAAAGCTAAAAAGGTTTACGCAAAATAAATATGCAAAAGTGAGGCCTAGAGTCGTGTCACCACTCATGGGTGTTCATGCGTGCCAGGCATAGGCGCCACACGCCCATGATGTTAACCACTTACCTTTGCCTGGGTTTTCAACACCGTGATTTCCGTGATGCAAATGAATGCAAAGGATTAATAGAGGATGATGAATGCTAACATTTCAGTGGAGCATTAAAATGTGGCCTATAAATATCAACAACTACATATTGTATTGTAGGAAGTAAAATATGCATTTGTTCTTGTTTGAGAAAATCTCATATATATATATATATATATATATATATATATATATATATATATATATATATATATATATATATACATATATATATATATACATATATATATATATATACATATATATATATACATATATATATATATATATACATATATATATATATACATATATATAATATATACATATATATATATATACATATATATATACATATATATATATATACATATATATATATTACATATATATATATATATATACATATATATATATATACATATATATATATACATATATATATATACATATATATATATATACATATATATATATATATACATATATTATATATATACATATATATATATATACATATATATATATACATATATATATATTACATATATATATATATACATATATATATATATACATATATATATATATATACATATATATATATATACACATATATATATATATACATATATATATACATATATATATATATATACATATATATATATATATACATATATATATATACATATATATATATATACATATATATATATATACATATATATATATATCATATATAAATATACATATATATATATACATATATATATATATACATATATATATATATATACATATATATATATATACATATATATATATATATACATATATATATACAT